TTGAAAAAATGTTGGTTGTATTGTTTTTTTGAGAAAATATTAAATAGTTCGGATCCCATATTAAAAGTTGGCGCCATATTTTCCGTTAAAGCCTAAAAGTATTAGGCAACCCTGCTGAAGAGCTGTAAAACCATCGACGACAGTATCGATGTTGGATCATCATGGCATGTATCGATACTTTCTATCGTTCAAGCTACGATACAACTTTTCGGCCCTGTTGAACGGAATTCACAAAGGTGGCAACTTCGCACGGAGTAAAATAAAATTGAAATTTATTTCATAAATTATAAGTTTAAGCACAAACGATGGCTGCCACCCCAAGCGCCCCGGGCAAGGCCGAAATGATCGACCTGACCAAGTTGAGTCCGGAACAGCTGCTGCAGATCAAGCAGGAGTTCGAGCAGGTGAGTTTCGCGTGTGAGTGTGCGATGAGTCAGGAGCGGGGAGGGAGGGGGTTCCAGGGCGGAGGGGCGCCGCAAATGGCACATGCTTCCTAAAACCAGCAATTTATGTGATTCCCAGGAAATGACCAACATACAGGACTCGCTGTCGACACTGCACGGCTGCAAGGCCAAGTATGCCGGCTCCAAGGAGGCCCTGGAAACGTTCCACTCTGATTGGGAGAACCGCGAGATCCTGGTCCCTCTGACCAGCAGCATGTACGTGCCAGGACGCGTCAAGGATCTCAACAACTTTGTTATTGACATCGGCACCGGCTACTACATCGAAAAGGTACTACTTGAATATTTAAAACGTACCATCTGGTCTTAACATCTGTTTCTTTAACAGGATTTGGACGGCTCCAAGGACTACTTCAAGCGTCGCGTGGAGTACGTGCAGGAGCAGATCGAGAAAATCGAGAAGATCCACCTGCAGAAGACGCGCTTCCTCAACTCTGTGATCGGCGTGCTGGAGCTGAAGCAGGCGGCCGCCGCCAAGCTGCAGGCCCAGCAGCAATCCCAGTCGGCCCAGAACTCCTAAGACCACGCTGGACCATAGAGACAGACACAGAGAGCATTAAATTATTAAACTTATAAACGAGATGTGTGCATTTAATTAACGTAGTTTATTAAATTGTTCAGCTACTTCTTGGCTTCCTCCAGGGCCACGGTGAGAACCTTAAGTTCTGTTCGTACGCAGACTTTAGATCCTGTAAGGGAAGAATGTATAAATGGCGTTAAGTAAATGCTGTCAACCTAACGCACCTTGAATATCCTGGACTGGGTGTCGTACTCCGAACGCAGCTTATCGTACACTCCCTTCGAGATGAGCAGCTTCTTTTCTGTAAGCAGACACTTGTCCTGCTCCGCCTTGATCCACAGCTGGCTCTTCTCCAGACGCGCCTGCGTGTGCTCACACTCGGCGGTCTTCAGCTGCAGCATGTCCTTGGTCACCTGCAGCACATCCTTAACCGTCTCCACCTGGGTCTTTAGCACGGCTATCTGCTGCTCTTGCTGTTTGTTCACCTTGGTCTTCTCGAACAGCAGGTTTTGGCTTTCAGCAGCAGCTCCTCCTGTTCTTGCCGGGATTGGGTGCATCTGTGCCGCCCAGCATGACGGATTGCTTGAGGGACTGCTCCAGCTGGACCACTCGCCGCTTTAACCGCTCATTTCCACCTTGGCTTCCTGCAATCAGGGTCAGTGAATGGGTGCACCCCATGGAAACAGGTCAACTAACCTCAAAGTCTTTGCGGAGTGCCCCAATTCGCTTGCGGGACTCCTCTAGCAGCGCCTGCTTTTCGCTTTCCAACGTGAAAACCATGTCGAGCAGTTCATTTTGCGGCTGCTGCGGCGGATGCACTTCCTCCTGGCCATTGCCTGTGATATTGTTGTTCACATCGCCGCCAATGGCTCCCTCCTCGATATTATCGGACATTTTAATGGAGAAAACTTTTTAAATCTAAAAAACTCGTTGAGCAATGTGCGTTTTCCGTGCCTTTGGGTTGTGTTTTCTTTTTGTATTAATAGACCAAATAGATGCAGACGCTATTTATAGGATATCCCACTCTCCGGCTCGCTCTCTGCCTGCTCTGCTCTGCACTAGATCACTCTCCCGAAATAACAAACCAAATTCCTCCAGTTTAGTTTGCGCCTCAGCGTATTCTGAAGTTCAATTTATTATACATTGAAGCGTGAATGAGAAAGGATTAAGGATGTGCGGTGTTAATACAGATCGCGTCGGGCAATACAATTAAATTGTTGTTACAATCAAATGGGGCGACAATTGAAAGTGAGTGATTTGATTAAAATTAAATGCCTAAACAAAGTAGAAGAAATGTGCTTCGCTCGCAGAGGAGAATGTCTAACCGTCCAGTTCGCCGGCGGCGCAGGCATCGGCGTAGCTCTTGCCGCTCTTGTCCTCCGGTTGAGCTTGATCATGTCGTCAATGCGCAAAATGGTAATGGCAGCCTCCGTGGCAACTTCAGCGACTTGATCTTGGACATGGCCGGCTCTAGCACACCAGCCTTCTTGTTGTCCCTGACCACACCCTCGATCAGATCCAGGCCAGTCCACTTAAGGTCCGAGCGCTCGGGTTTCGTCTGGCTGGAGTTGTGGTAGGAGCGCAGCTTGGCTACCAGATCCGTGGCATCCTTGGCCGCGTTCACGGACAAAGTCTTGGGAATGACCAAAAGCGACTTGGCGAACTCGGCGATGGCCAACTGTTCGCGGGAGGCCAGCGAGGTAGCGAAGTTCTCCAGGTAGATGGACAGGGCGGCTTCCACGCAGCCGCCGCCGGCCACCACCTTCTTGCTCTCCAGCACACGCTTAACCACGCACAGGGCGTCGTGGACGGAGCGCTCCATCTCATCACAGTAGAAGTCGTTGGGGCCACGCAGGATAATGGAAGCAGCAGCACTGAGATAGGATGTTAATGTAGTAATTGAAACCCTTTTTGGCAGGCTAATGTCTGTACTTACCGCGCCTTTGTGCCCTTGATGAGAATAAGCTCATCGTCGCAGATGCGCTCCTGAGCAACCTCGGCGGCCTCGCCCACCATGGAGGCATCGAAGCTCTCCTCGCCGTCCATGTTGGTCAGCGAGGTAAGGAAGGCGGCGCCAGTGGCCTTGGCAATGATCTTCAGATCACTCTTCTTCACACGTCGCACAGCCATGGCTCCAGCCTCAACGAAGTACTTCATGCACAGATCATCGACTCCGCCGCTGACGAGAACCACATTGACACCGGTGCCCAGGATCATGTTAATGCGCTCCTTGGTGATGTCCAGTTCGCGGGCACGGATGGCCTCCAGCTTGTCGGGGTCGTTGATCAGCACCTGGACGCCCATCTTCATCTTGGTCTTCTGCAGCGAGAAGTCCAGCAGGCGATCTTGGCGTTCACAATCTTCTTGGGCATCTGCTGGGAGGCAATGGTGCAGTTCAGGGCGTAGCCAGGAATCAGCACGGATTCCCTGGCAGACTTGCCATGGGCCTTCAGGACATTGATGGCCTTGATCGAGTAAGCTGTCTGTCCACGGGGATCTGTGATCTTCACCGACTGGGCGGCGTCCACAACCATGGCGGAGAAGAATTCGGCGTCGGCGCCAATGATTTTGGAGCTCATCGAGGTCTTGGCAATGTTGACCAGGGTATCGCGACCTAGCTCATCCACGGGGGCGGTTAGGTGCTCCGAGATGTACTTGCAGGCCTCTTTGCAGGCAATGCGGTATCCCGAGATGATGGAGGTGGGGTGGATCTTCTGCTTGACCAGTTCATCGGCGTTCTTCAGCAGCTCGGCGGCCAGGATGACCACAGAGGTGGTGCCATCGCCGACCTCCTCGTCCTGCAGCTGAGCCAGCTCAACCAGAACCCTTAACATTATTAAATTAGTATGTGCTTAAGAGGTTTTCCTGCCAACAACTCACTTGGCAGCCGGGTGCTCCACCTCCAGCAGTCGCAGAATGGTGGCTCCATCGTTGGTCACTGTGACATCGCCGATGTCGTCCACCAGCATCTTGTCCAGACCCACGGGTCCCAGAGAGCTCTTCACGATGTTCGATATGGACAGAGCAGCCATAACTGAAAGGACATGGAATCGCAGTTGCAGTCATAACCTCAAACTGAAGGGGGGTCGTCTATTAGGGCTTGTATGTTCCCAAGTTTAAGGTGTTTTAGAAAACCCATTAAACTCTAATAGAACCACTCTCCCCCGATTTTCTTCCGGAACATTCTCCATGCAGAGCATGACCACCCGATGAGTAAGAAACGTGCTCCGCCGGCAGACGCACCGCAGATGTTGACAAAACCCGGGATTCTCACCGTTCTGTGTGCGCACCGATGCGCCGGACTGGCGGGTGCCAGCAATGGACAAAGGAGAGGCCAAGGTCGACATTTTCTTCTGGGTTTCGGCAACTTTTAATAAAAAACGAGATAAATCAAATACGCTGAAAACCGCACGTTAAACCGCCTGACTCACTTTAGTGGGACCGCGTTCAGCTCAAAGAAACATGCATGCATTTTTTTTATTATTCCAAACGGTCACTCTACGAGCAACTTTTTTAATATATGTAAATGTTCTTCTTAGTTATATTTCCCTATCCAGTCATTTAAAAGGCATTAAACAAAGTTAGTTATTAATCATGCGGTCTAATGTTCAACTAATCATAAAGTTTTTTTCAACGTTGCCGACATTCAAAGCCACCTCCAAGCTATCGATGGTTATCGATAACCGTCGTTTGGTCTTTAGAAGTTTCTCTTAGCAGCCCTGGTTGTAACGTTTATTTAAATTTAACTTTTTCTTTTTTTATAAATTGGATACGTCGCGCTTTAGTTATTAAAGAATTGACTTTGTAAAAAATGGTTCCAAAAATGGGGACCCACAAAAATGATTTTTAATTTATTAATGAAATGTTTTAATGTAAAAAACCCCTTTTTGGGTAATCTTTCTTAGGCAGTAACTTAGTAGGCTGTGAAGTTGATTTCGTTTCCGTAGTCTTGTCGACCATAGAATTTTATCATTCCACTTCTAGATCTCAACGATTCAAAGTCAAAATCAAGTTTTCCAATATTTTGTATAAATAATTTTTTAGAGTTAAAATTGTTGTGTAAGATCCGATCATTCTAGTTTTTACCTTTCCTAATGTTTAACCATGTTTAGATAAACAATGTCATCCCGTGCAGCTCGACCCAAAAGACCCGTATCTGCCTTCCTGTTGTGGTTGAATTCTTCCGGGCGTGAGATCATCAAATCTGAGCACCCCGAGCTCAAGGTCCCGGAAGTGGCTGTCAAGGGCGGTGAGTTATGGCGCAGCATGGCGGCTGAAGATAAGTCCGTATGGCAGGAGTCTGCCTCCGTGGCAATGGCAAAATATAAGGAGGAGGTGGAGCAGTGGAAGTTTCAGGTGGAACTGGAGATGCATGGCGTTCCTGCTCCTTCGCCCTCTCGATTCCCAGACTCTTCAAAACGGGACACTCTCTTTGTGTACGACAGCAAGGATAAATCGTTTTCTCCGATCTGCAGGGATTGTTACTTAAACTTGCAGTGCTCTGATTAGAGGTCGTCCTGGCTTTGATACTCTTCTAAATTTCTGTCTTGGTCCGTCTCGCTTCCAAATGTAAAGTTTCAGAGAAGTTCTTGCAAAAGAATTAAACTTAGTTTTTGACTCTAAGTGTACGGTGTTGATTTATTTATAATTTTTTCAGCACTGTTGGATTAATTAATTGCTATTGTTACATGCTAAACTTCTCACAGTATGCATCCTCTTTTTGATTAAAACATCACCTTTAAAAAGTTAAATAATAGGTGGAAAAAGGTTTCCAAAATCTTAAACTGCACAAAATTGATATTTGTAAAAAATTATTCAAAATACCATAAGTTGATCAAAGGATAGCAATAGAAAAAAGAAAACACAAATTTTTTAAGAATTTACAGTATTTAATGTCAAATTGTTAATGATGCGGCACCGTTTAAATAGGCTATTAAACATGTGATAACAGAATCCATTTTTCGGGAGTGCTTTCTATGTTAAAATGTGTCGTTTTTTTAAGAACAAATACGGTCATATATGCCCTATAGTTCTTCAGACAGTCGAACTGAATGTGCAGAGCAGGTTGATTTTATTTGATACGATGTTTTTGGGTTTCCGACGTCTTAAAAATGAAGTCGATCACTTTATATTTAATTTTGTCGGTTTTGCTATCCGCCAAACTAAGTCTCATCGATGGAGCCCCACCTAAGGATTTTCACCAGCTTCTCCAGCCCATGATCGACCACTTTGAGGAGTTTAAACAAAAGGCGACAGAAACGATAACCTGGATGGGACCATAACTGATTTAAAAAGGATATAAACTTTTAAAAAGTGAGCTAGCAGTGGCTGATGTTCAAATCAAGGTGAAAAAAGACATCATACGTGTGCAAGATGAAAAAATCAGTAAACTACTAAAAAATAATGATGAAAGCGTAAATGCATTGAATGAAAATATTAGAGACTTAAAGAATCAGTTAAAAATAGCTCAAGATGAAATTGCGAGCAAAAACATATTATTAAGTCAACAAATTAATGAAAGCATGGACGAAAAAGCTCAGCTAAATAACCAAATCACTGACCTAAGTGAACAACTGCAGAACTTAAACAGTGAGTGGGAAGTTGCTAAAGAAGTTATCAAAACGAAAGAAGAGGACATAAATCTAAAAAGCAATGTAATCCTAAGGCAAAATGAACTGCTTATAAACAAAGAGATTCGCATCGGAGAATTAAACGATCAGATTTTGCTCAAAGATAAAGAAATCGAAAGCAAAAACGAAGCAGTAGAGCGTATACGTGTATTCCTTGATAATATAAATAAGATTAAACTGAACTGATCCGATCTGATTTTGGATGTTGGTGCTATTACTCTGTAGGTATTTATAATTTATTTCAAATTACATGAATGGAACACTAAAAAACTATATTTGTAGATTTTTCTATGAAGACAATACAGATGATCACAACAAAGCGACAGAAGATAATGTTGAGATTGCCGGGGGTTCCCTTGTTGAGCTGAAATACAATACACAATAAATCCAATATTAATATACAGTCAATAGAATCGAGTATCAGAGAAAATGTTATTTCCAATAATTTGATAAATATGTTTGCATAATTTAATAAATACATTAGTGTGTATGTATCATCAAGTGGTGAATGCGTTTTAATGCGATTAATCAACAGTACTTATCAACGGAATTGTCTGGCTTCCAAAAAATATTATTTATTGCTTTTAATAGCATTCGGCACATAGGCAAAAGGTCAAAGCAATAATTTGAGAATATATTTTTGGTTTTTCCAGATGGGTACTAAGAGAGATAACTTTTTGCACAGTTTTATGTTTATTCCAACATTACCATTTATTTAGAAAAACAGAATTCTTTGGATTCTCTGTACGGTATAATCAGAGTTTTTATAGAATAACAAAATATTTCATTTCAATATTTATTCACAATCATTCCTAGAATTCGATTTGTGATGTCAGGCTCCTGGGTCTCGCTTATTGATAGAGCCAACCAATAACCTTAATTTAGATTATTTACTCGAAATAATTTTCTGTTTTTATGCGAAAAACTTGTTTTTAATTTTTAATTTAACTCTTTCATTTTTTTTATTATCAGCAATTTTAATAATGATTTGGAATTTTCGTCCAGAACCGTAGAAACTTGTTCTATCCCAACAAGTGCGCAAAGAAATCTTTGCTTTTGCTTGCTTTCACTTTGTCTTTCACTTTTTCTCCCTTCTGCTGTTTTAGCCAAAAGCTAATTTGGCTTTTTGTTCTCTTTGCCGGCACATCGTGCAATGTTTTTGTTCTGGCTGGTTTTTCCAGCTCCATGCAATTAAAGCTGCCAGCCCAACCAAGACTTTTGTGGAACCAAGACTAAGTGTCTTAACAATTTAGGGCGCTATAGTAGAATCTATTATATACACATATGGGTAAGATTATTAGAAATAAGTTTTTTTTTAAATATTTATTGATCTGTTTTTTTAATTTTTATATACATATTTAGTCGTTTAGTCAAAAATAAAATACAAACTAATAGGCAATGGTTGATAGAAGTCAAGACCTTTTTTTTTATTTTCTTATAACAGCTTAATAAATTATTAATAGCACTTAAGCTTTGGATATTGACTTTTTTATTGTTGTTTAGATGTCCTATTTTATTGCAAACTATTGTTTGGCAGGACTTTGGTGTATTGGCAATGGGTACACCTACAGCTGATAATTGCAGAGGAAAAAACAGCAATGCCTCCTGCAATAAAAGTCACAATGGCGACAGCTCACGACACATTGCCCGGCATACCACCCCCACCTCCCCCACTTTCACCTTTCTTTCTCCTTCCCAGTGTGTGTGTGTGTGTGTGGTTGTGGGTGAGAGTGATTGACGGCCGGCGGGCTTTCCGTGTGTAGTTATTGTTGAATTCAATTTGCCGTAAATGTATTGTTGGCCTGACTCGGCGCTCGGGACTTGTGGTCGCTTCTGTTGCCTTTGGTTACAGCTCATTAGCAGCAGCGCACTCACACACGCACACCCAACCGAGCACAAGCACTTCTGCAAACAGGCGCAGATAACGCCTTCGGTTAACTTGAATTCCACGAAGTCGGAAGAGCCACGATCGCACAAAAATAGTGTACAGTAACCATGGACTTATTCTAATTAACAGACCCCATATTCTGCTTAGAAACCATCTAAAAAAACATACACCCAAACATTTCAGTATTACCAACAAATTGCAACACTTTTAAAGATTTCATGGTATATAATTCTTAATGAGAACACATTATTTATATTATATTATATTTTATTAATATATTCTATTTATTATATTTTTAATTAAGAACGTAAGTCAACTTTGGCAAGGCACAGATGGTATATTAGCCCTGAAGATTTTTTAATAATGTGATAATATATAGTTCAATTAAAATAGTTTAAAAGAAATATGAAATATATTAACAGCGAAATATATAAATATTACTATATACAACCCGGATATTATAATTTGTAATACCCTTTTTTCTGTATTGACCATTTTTCTTTAGTACCTAGGCATTTTTTATCTTTTTATTTTGTAATAAAATACTTTTATTTGTAATACCTTTTTTCTGTGTTGACCATTTTTCTTTAGTACCTAGGCTTTTTTATCCAAGTGTTTGATATATCGAGACTTGACCGTACCAGCAACGGCCATTAAGTCCGACTGTGAGCAAACAATTCCGATTGATTTATTGTCGCAATGGTTAATACGATTAAGCGATGGTGTGTACAGTACAAGTGAAACAAAGGCCCAGTGTTCGGTGGCCATCACAATGGGGCTCACCTGTACCCTTGTGTGGTGTGTGTGTGTCTGTGTGTGTGTATTATGCCATCGCATATGTGTGCGCGGGCTGGAGCTCAGCGGCTTTAATTGCCAGTCGGTTGGGCTCAGTTTGTGTCGCCGTGTGGCTGTAGCTGTGGATGTGGCTGGGATTTATGCTTGTTCTACATGCATGTTGTACAAACAATTTAGCTGTAACTGCGACACACACACACACACACGCAGGCCTGCCTCAACACTCACACACACGTACGATGGGGACTCAGTATGCGTGCTGGACGACCTCCATTTAACACCAAACGTGTCATTTGTGGCCATTTGCTGGTTGTACATACATATATCTGCGCCTGTGTATGTGTGCTTTACGAGGCTCTGGCTGCGTTTTGTGGTCTATTAAGTGGCTCGCACTAAACCAAAAAATATGCCATCATCTTTATGCGACGTGTGCAACACGGCGTATGAGCGTTATGCCTCAAGTGAGCAACAAGCGCCGGCGAATATATATTATACTGTGGAATACCCGTTCGTAAAGCTTAAGTTCCCATTGGATGGCCACTAAAATGCCTGAGTGCACTGGGTAACTGGAAAGGGAGTCTGCGTATATATGTATATAAACTAAAGTTCATTAAAAGTAAAATCGGAGTACTTCACAAATGTGGCAGGACAAAGTTGTGATACTCTTCTTTGGAGAGGCAGTAAAACAAAAGGTTGTATTTACCTAAACTACTTACCTCGAATGATGGCTTATCTAGATTCACAATTTTAGGGCTCTAATTAATCCCCTCTTATGAATTGGCATCCCCATAATACCACCGAGACCGAAGAGTATCATAAAAGCAGTGAGGGATAAAGGAGCTTTACAGCGAGGGATGATAAGGGTAAGAATTCCAGGTACTTGGTAAAAAGTATTTGTAGGGAAGTTGAAAGAATATTTTGCACAGTTTCAAAAACATGAGATAAGCACATATATAGTATATTATTTGTTCTATTCCCGAACAGCAAATTAGTTAGTCATCCGTTTCGAGCGATAAGAGTACAACAAAAATGTTTTGATTCGGATTCAAATATAACAAATAAGGTTCTAGAAGGTAAATCCCATTTTCAAGGCTAATCTTAACAGTACAATCTTTTGGGTGTTGATTTCTATATGTGTAAGGTACCAAAACCTCGAAATAGGTACAGCCACGTAGACACCGCTCATCACTGTCCAAGGAGAAGATGTTTATGACCCTGCCCGCTGTGCATGCAACAGGGGCGGAGAAAGCTGAAATGTCGACGGCTTCGCCTACGCCTGAGATAA